CCTTGAGCCTCCACGACTTCAAGCCAGGCCTCCTGGTGAGTATGATTAGGATAAAAAGGAAAGGTGGAGTGAATACTCACCATTACACGAGAGGTTTCTACGTTGTCGTTGGCCATCGCTGCTGCCGACCTTGATTTTGTTGACTTGTTCCGAGTGATGGGAGGATTCCTTCGATCTGTTCGAGCTCGTCCTCTTGCCAATTCGTTTCGTTATTACCATAACTGACACATGTCGGCTCTAATACCAACCTCACACCCTGTGTTGTCTTCCGGTCGAAGTGATAAATTATGCGCAATAGGCCCCGAAAGACAACCAAATGGGGCGTGCCAATGATTTTTGAGAAATTAAGAGTGGGGACTTAGATGGAACTGAATTCCCCCCCGTGGTTCCGTTTTTTCCAAAAACAGGCAATCTACGAGCGAGAAGAAATCAAACGCGCATGATTTTCAAACATCCATTCAATCCAAAAAGTATCCTTGTACCTCCACTCAGGCTGATGGTCATCTCTTAGGGCGAACAGGCGAAGAAACGCACGTGGGATCTCGTTTTCGAATCATATCCTGACGTCACTCATTATAGAGCTCAAAATCCGATGTGGAGGGCCTCAACCTGGTCGCTCGTTCCTTGTGTTCGTCTTCGCCACGTGTTCGGTAGTGGAACCCTTTTTTCCGATAGCGCTCTATGTGGTGGCAATCGCCGGAATAGGTATTAGGTCAATGGGGTGTCACTGACGTCCACGTGATAACAATCAACTCGTTAAACTTGAAAAACAATAACAACGAGTACGGGGGAAATTGAGTATCGATAATGACAAAACACGTACCTATAAATCCATAACACCTTGTTTCATGTGGAAAATAATATTGTCCGCCGTACTTGACGACGACTTCCCGTATGTCCCACTCTCACACACGTGTCCTTTCCTCGTTGTAGGGGAATGGTCATGATTGGGGTGCGAGAACTTGAAGTTGACACCCGGTCGGATCGGAATAATCGGTCCACATGGCACGAACAAGTTCAACGTATATGAGTTTACCCAATCGACTGCTCAGTCACAAAGACAATTAGTTTTATAACGATTATTGCAATTTATTTATTTGGTGAACCAATAAAAAAGAGGAAGGTTATAAGTCCGATTCAATTGTAGTAACACTTGTCATTCATCAAGGCAGCGATGAGCATACATTTGCATAACCGTAGTGCGTTTTCCACACAGGTAACCCGATGTTCGAGGGACGCATAAAAAATTAAAAAAAAATGGATTAAGATTTTTCGATCCTCTTTAAGTTCAATAATACTTGTTCATGTGAGATCCGGTTGAATTCAACGGAGGTGGACAAGATCAGGGAGTCCCAAATTATTCCTGCATTCATCAACCAACCATGGATATGAGAACGAGAGAGATAGATAGATAGATAGATAGAGAAGATGTGTATAAGAGACAGGTATTAATATCACTAAGCAAAACGACCGAGGTCC